ATATAAACATACGTAAATATTTATATAAATATAATATAATATTAATTTATACTAAATATAATATATAGGTATACTGGACGCACCCCTCATGATATGTAGGGAAGCTTGGGGCTTGTTCTAACAGTTTTTTTTAATTAATATATCTTGAGATCCACTAATTATAATTCTATGAAATAAAGATGGATGGTTGCTGCAACTATTCCTCTACCGAACCAAGTAAAAATAATTCCACAACAGTTGTTCATTATTTCAAAATTAATTCATTTCTGGAAAAAGTGCGGTGCTAAATCCAATTTAATTTTTATATTCTTAATTTACAAATATAAAAATGAAATTGGATTTAATAAAATAGTTGTTGAAGAAAGTAGACGGTGATAATATAATTTGTACCTAATATAAATAATTTCAATTCCTTATTAATATATCGTAAAATCTGAGCTGGCAATAAAACGCACTCAAATTCAATAAGCAAATTCAATCACAAAGCACTTTGCCATCCATTGATGTTGCACCTGATCCCTTCCGCAAATGCGTCAAGCAATTTACTTAAATCAAATTTGATAGCAACCCATAAAATATACTTGCTTTGAAACTATACTCATTCGATGGAATGGCTTTATGACTCTTTTTCACTTGCTTTTCTCACATTGTTATATAAAGGTTTCTTATATACCTACTTTTCGGGTTCGTATTTGATATAATGAAATATTGGAATTCTGAACTGGGTAGCTAATTATTTTTGAAAAAATACAGGTTACTAAATTGCATTTTGTTATTTTCAAAATATTCTATTTTTTGGAAGTTTAAGTTTAATTTCTACTAGCATAATTACAATGCTATCTATCAAATATAATACACAAATATTTATAGAATTAATTTTTAATGATGTTAAATTTTTTCACATGAAAATTTATTTTATCAAAAAAAATTTCAAATTTCAACATTTTTATCTTAACGCTTGAAGCTCTATCTCTTGAAATATTTTATTGATGATATTGTGTGTATTTGTATTTCTAATATATTTCTAAAATGATTTTTTTGTTATAATTTAAGAATAGTGAGTGCAGAAAATTGTGTCACAATATTTTACATTGAAAAGTAGTCATATTCATTTAAATTATTAAGTTGCAACAATCATAGCAGGAATGGCTGAGTTCAATATATTGAATGGAAATTGTTTTTCCCAGTTTGTTCGCGGTTGTGTTAAATAACATTGGAAGAAAAAATAGGTGTACATGGCATTTTGTTTTAGGGAAAAGTTTCAACAGCTTCTGATATGTGAAAACAATAATTGGCTTTATTAATTGTAATTCAGCAACTTTTCAAATTGGGGTGATAAAATTTTAATATTTTGACCAGGCCTAATATTTGTAGCCTATGGCCTACGGCCCATAATAGCCTAGGCTACCAATGCCTACGGCTCATAATATTTAGTATGTTCTTGAAGACCAAGATCTCTATATCCACATAATTTTTTTTATCAAAATCAAGAAACGGATCGACCAATCTTTACCAAAAACTAATCAGCACGATTTGCAACTGATATATTTCCAACAATTTTTCAAGTTTTAATTCAGGATTCTTGGGACGAATTTTGCACTTTTCTGTTCATTATAAAAAAAGGCATAACCGATCGTTGCGCAAAAATAACCAAAGCGAGCCCTTACGAGTTACACGAATTGTTTTTAAAATTTGAAAATCATTTCAGCTGTTTTTAAGGCAACGTCTATGACAGGTCAACACAAATATATTTTTTCTTATTTCGGTGTTGACATATAAAATAAATTTCTGGTGCAAGTATAAATTTCTTCTTCAGGAAATAAGAAGAAAAAACTATTTTTTCATTTCTTAAAAATAACAATACAGATAAAATGAAATCTTATAAGATGCTGTTGTTGTTATGTGAAAAGAGAGAAAAAAAATAAAAAAGAAGAAAAAATAATAATTGAGAATTCACTCCATGGAAAGAAGTCTAGTGTTAACAAATGACTATATAAAGTAGATCAATTTTGTGAAGTAACACCTATCCCCCGTATTATACGTTTTCTATCCTACACGATTTTTGAAAATATAATAATAAGAACGTTTATTAATCTTAGATATAAACGAAATTATTTACACTAAATTATAATTTGCTTGTATTCACAATAACATTTTCATTGTTTTACTATCAAAATACAACATTACAAAGTGTATGCTACAGTTACAAATTCTTAGTAGTTTATGTCTATGATGGAAATATGTATATAAGATGGGAACTCCCCGTTTTATGATCAAAACTAAATTTTATGTGTGTATAAGCTAGTTTGTTAAAATACCAAAAAACAATTTATTTATTTATAATTTTGCTTTTAATTAGTGTATGTATAATCTCAATACCAAGAGTAGTATATAAAAATGACATTTTTTTTAAATATTTGCTTCATTGTTGAAACAAAATATTCTTATAATTTATTAAATGTATTTGATATTAAATATATTAATATTTCTTTTTTGTTCAGTGTATTTGTCATTCATCATGTTCAAAACTGACAAAAAAGGCTTTTTATAGTGATTTTCGCTTAGCACTTTCTTTCCATATAAGAGTCAATTTTTCAAGTCGTATTTTTTATGAAAACTATTCTTTCGTGTAAGCGGAGGATAGATTATGTAGTTTAAAATTTTTTTTATATATATATTTTTTAACAGCAATCAGAACCTTACGTCCTTTGAGCTGTTGGGCTGAAACTTCTTACTACGTATTTTTTTTAGATGGTAACCAATGGTTGATCCATCCATATTTTGATGATTTTGTTATTAGAATTAATTTATAGGGCTGACACAATGCCGGGCAGGGCTATTTTCACTTGGAAACATATTGCTATCTATATATTTTCAAGTGAAAATCGTTGTCAATGCTGCCTGACAACAGGCTGCGATCGAAGTGGGTATCGAACCCGGGACCTGAAACAAGTCCGTCGATCTTAACCGCTTACCTACTGGCGAGCCGTAGTTTAAAATATATGTGTGTTTATTATTTACTAGTAAAATGAGTGTTTAGTATACTATTGTGATTTAAGCAGTTTGTATCGAGATATGTTAGTCATTGTATAGTTATACCGTCGGCTTTGCATTAACGGACATAGACACCCTACATATTATATTTACAGTACACGTGATATACCAAACACGTAAGCAAGTTTCGCAAAAAGCCCCGGGGTCACATTCATTCATATCACCCTAACACAATGCACCTTGTAACCTGTCGCTGGAATGCATTAGGGCCCGCGACATCATAAAATGCATTGTTTCACATTCTGGACGACACACTGCTTATGGAATATATGATACTTCATATATTTTATATACGGGTGTTCCAGAACTCAACGTCAAGCCGAAACTTGTGATAGATAGATCATAACTGTCATGAAAAATATTCGAAAAAAATATCAGAGTTAAATGCTTTGGTGAAAATGTGACAATTTTAAAGTTATTGTGGTTCATTTTTATTAATTTTGTTTATTTAAGCTTTTGATCAGTAATTGTAAATAACATTTCTAGGACCACAGTCCAAAATAATAACACAATTGCCCCAAGTTTTTAAGAATTAAGACTTTTATTGAACAATTAATTTCAAATGTGTCGAGCTTACACTTGGTAGCGTGTTCGATTCACACGACAAGAATCTTTGAATCGAATCCTGTCATTTACTTAGAATTTATGAAAAATGTGTAGTTATTATTTTTAAATTAATAAAAATTGTATTTGTTAAGTAGAAATTAAATACGAATTAAGAAAAATAGGAATTACAGAATTTGAAAAGCTGAATTGTATTAGGAATAAGAAGAAAAAATATCAGAATTTGCTGAGATTAAAAAGAAGAATGAAAAAAAAATGGAATGAAGATAAAAGTTGAATAAAATTAAATTTGATAGAAAACAGCAAAAATTGAAGAAATTAAGAAGAAGAAAAATATAGAATAGAATAAATATATAGATTGAATATGATATAAAAATTGGTATAGAATGTAATAAATAAAAATGTTGTAGGTAGCTAAATGCCCACAGTAAGCGAGGCCAAATAAAAATTAGAAAAAAAAAAATAAAAATAAAATCAAATTTACAAGTAAGTGAACTTTGATAGACTCTCCTTTAAAAAACTGCACTAAAGTGCATTGGCATCAGGATCGTATTATAATATAATAAAATCTTGATGGTTTCATAATAAAAAGTCGAGTAAAATGACAAAAATATTTTACTATTTTACAATCCAGATTAAATGCGCCAACTTTTGATAAAACTTACCAATACACTAAGAGGGTATATCAAAATTGACCAATTTTGAAAATTTTAAATTCATAGTTCAACAAAAAGTTATAATTCTTGAAATTTTTGGGACAATTGTATCATTATTTTTAACTGCGGGGCTTGAAATCTTGTTTACAAATACAGATCCAAAGCTTAAAAATGAAGAAAATTAATAAAAAAAAATCACAATAATCGAAAATGGTTACATTATTACTAAAGCTCTAGGTTGCACTTAAAGCTCATATTTTTCAAACTACGAGAGTATGTTTTATTTCTTTTGTTTGTTGTTTTGATGAAGTTAACACTAGGTATTATCGTAGTACACATTTTCATACCATGGAGTTTTAGACTTATTTGACATAGTATTATAATATCAAACAGCGAGTATTTTAGTGTTATTATTTTGTTACAGGCTATTTCCTTAGTTTTAAGTAATTGTAACTATTTTCCACTAATTGAACTATGATGTTAGCTGTTTCGGTTCCATATAATTTCAGTATGGTAACAATGTATCAAATGGTTTGGCATGATGTTTGGATTATTCTTATTTTGTCCATCTATCTGTCATGGCCGTCATTTTAAAACTATTTGTTTTATAAAATACAAAGTTTTAAAATGAACTTTTGCAATATACACCACAAAAATCTGTTGAAAAACAATCATTTATTACTGTTAGAATAATTAATATTGAATACATTCTTTTTTTTTTTGCAGAATTGGCTTAACACCACAGAGTAATGTATGGATCGGTGCCTGGTGGATTGGCTTTATCTTTGGGGCCATAATATGTTTTCTTCTGGCATTGCCTATAATAGCTTATCCTTCATCACTTCCAGGTAAAAAATTATATAATGATAAATATTAAATTATACACATATTGTTTATGTTTATTAATTTTAAAAAAGCATATTATATGAATATGTCATATTATATACACCAATACCTGGCTTACAAGTGACCTGACATATGATGTTTCGATATACGAGCCACCAAAGAAGGGGTTTGTTTGCTTAGAAATACGAGGAAAATCTGAGATACGATCTTTCAGCGAGTAAGAGTTTTGTCAAAAAATATTAACAACAAAATGAAAATACGAAACATTTTGTCAACAATAAATGAACAATGATTTTCTTACCATAGAAATATTTTGGCTGTTTTATGATAGTTTTTGCTTTTTGTACATTGACAAAGTATTATTTAATTTTGTAGCTATGAGTCTAAAGAAAAGATCCATGTATCTTGAATTAAAGCGTAAAATTAGAAAAAAATATTAGGATGATGTAAGAGAATAACACATCATAGATATATGCTATGTTTAAACAGAAGGTGTTAATAAATAGTATAACTCTAGCTGAGGGCCTTACAATAATTTATAAACAGCTTTCTGAGAAAAAGTTCTGAAAATCATTCCGAAAAAAATTCAGCAGTTGAACTAATTAGTTTTTCAACGAAACATGTCTAACTCATTTCCGCAATATCATAAATGGGCAAGAAAAACAATAATTAATTTAATAAACAGTAAATTTATTTTCAATATCGAAAAAACTTAAAAACCACAGTGCTAGAACAAGTTAATTGTAATTCCAATATTTTATATTGTAAAAATTGCTTTGAGATACGAGCAATTCCACATACGAGCGTGGTTCAGGAACAAATTAAACTCCTATATCGGGTACCCATGCAACCAATATATGACATGCATCTAGATTAATCAGTATTATTGATGTATTTATAATATTCAAATGTAATTAAAAACTGTTTATACTTCATAACAACAATTTCAGAAAATAATATTAGGTTGTGAAATATCTCCCAGGCACAAATTACAACTAAAAAATTTCAATTTTTAGAGAGCCGTTATATACGAACACTACAGATATAACTTCATATAATTATATTAATTATTATAAATGATAAAATATTTTTAGTGGAACGTATGTATGTAGCGATCGAATGAAAATTAATACAAATTAAATTTATTATTGTAGTTTTTGTTATTATAAGTCAAATGTAAAAATGGAGTTATGATCAAAGTATTGATTACAATAAGTTTTCTAATATGTTCATTATTTATTATTATTGTAATATTTTAATTTGCAAACGTTACAAATGATATTAGGATCGGAAGAGCTGCGCAACGCCCGAGTGTCAGAGGCCCACGCGCGTACTGGCGATTCGAAGGAAGGATTCGGACGGATACGCGAGCTTCCGAGAGCTTTAATGGAGCTTGTGCGCAATCCAGCTTTTTCATTCCTCAACTTGGCTGGCGCATCGGAGGGACTGTTAATTGCTGGTTTTGCTGCATTTTTGCCCAAATTAATTGAATTTCAATTCAGCGTTACACCGACACGAGCTGCGTTATTGATGGGTATGTTATTTATAAATATTTTTAATTTAATAAATGCAAATTGCTGAAACCTTTCCGTACCAAAATTATTATTTTTTTAAAAACGATCAACATTTTTGAAAAATTTTACTTCGAAAAAATTAGATTTTTGAGAAACTATAATTTTTTGTCAAAAACTTACTTTTTTTTAAAAAAAAAGACTTTTTGAAGAAAAATTTATTTTGTTATATTTTGGAAATTCTGAACTTTTTTTACTAGATCTCCGAAACCGCTAAACCTGCTTTCATGAAAACTTGATCAGTTCTTTATCTTATTAATACAAGTGAAATGTTTTTTAATTATTCAAATCGGACGCTCCGTTCTCTTAAAAACTGAGTTACCGTTTTCGGCACATTTTGCCCCATATCTGCGGAACGGCTAGACCTGCCTTCGCCAAAAACTAATCAGCACGTCTCCTTATCCATACGGATCAAATTTTTTTAATTATTCAAATGGCTTTATCCGTGTTCCTGAAATCGTCTACGAATTTGTATCCGCACACATACATACATCCATTTTTTTTAAGGTATGCCAAAATGTTCAGAAGGTTTTGAAACGTAAAGATATATGAAAAAAATTATTTTAGATTTTTTTGCTATTACTATAACCTGCCCTACGGAAAGTTAAAAATGTTGTAAAAAGTACTTAGAATGATAATGCCCCTCAAATTTAATTCTTAAATATTCAATATAAGCATTCAATATGACTATCACTGGGTATCATTCTAATATATTATCTTACAAATGAGTCAACAAAATTACTGAATGCTTTTTTAATGCATTTTATTGGGCACCAAATTATTCATATTAAAATAATATCAGTAAAACAGTAATATTGTCTTTATATATGAATCTCTATCTCTATTATCAGAAAATTGAAATGCAAACGGTAGGTTTACATTGATCCTAAAATCACTTACCCTAAATCTAAAAGTTATGAA